ATACCTTACTTCAACAGGATGAGTTAGAAATTAAAGTCTGGAGTTTCAGTTTGATCAACATTATACTTCAATTTACAAATAAATTAGAAATAAAATATTCTGAAATCACTGAAATCAATGGTTTTGGTCTGAAAAATGGATTCATATTTTCCAAAAGTAATTTGACATTTTAATTTTTCATTGCTATTCATGGACAATATTTTTAAAATCTCAGCAATGCTGATGGGACAAAATCCTCAACTTTCTGCCCAAACTTAATACAACTTCATTTACCAACAAACATCACACACACAAAAGACGTGAGGATGAAGGACACCACCCATCCAAGAAAAGGAGGTCTCCAGGGACTTTGCTAGACAGATTTTCCCAGCAGTATGTGGCACCTCCTGTTACAGCCCTTATGAACAGCCTAGCAGAAGAGATAGATAAACTAGAGCTGCCTCCTCTCCCCAGCATTATCCCAGGTCCTGGGCAGAGCTGTCTACCCTATTTTATACCAGCTAAGAAGCACATATGGCAGCCGGGATTTCTGCAATTCCTTTCATTCAATCTCTGTTGTCTCTGACATGATTCATGCACTAGGGTTACAGGGAAAAAATACAGAAATTATCTGGGGACTGTACCAGCTTGGAGAGTTACAAAAAACATCAGCTCCTTCTGCAGTGAGAGAGAAGAGAAAGAGAGCAGAAGAAGTGTGACTAACTGTTCCTGAATATACAGGAGACGTGAACCAGAAAAGGAGCTGTGTTACTGTGGCTGGGGAGTTCATAGATCTGTGATTCACAGTATTACAGGGCCCATTTGGCATGCAAAAAGAGAGAATGATGAAAGGAATAGTTAGTCATGGAGACAAAGCTAGACAGAACACACAAAGATGCTACCCCCGGGAAAGGGAACATATTCAGGTGTGACCCACAGCCTGGGGAAGGGAATAAGCTCATCTTTTCTTTATTTTCCTAAAATTCCTTCTTACTTTGATAGGTAGAGTACTTGAAAGAGTGCCCTCCATCCCAGCCTTGTAAGAGCACCATGAACTCCAGTGCACTGTTCAAGCCTATCTCAACCCAAGAGGATGGCATAATGTTCTTCAAACTTTTGCTAAAACCAGACAGCCATATTCTCTCATGACCATATTTTTTTCTTCTCTCACTTTAGAAAGTATTATTTAAGACAGGCAAAAGAGGAAAAAAGGACACCCTAGCTATGCTGTTAGAGTCCACAGTGTACTACCCTCAGCATGTAATTGCTGAAATCACCACTGTTGAAACGCTTGCAGATAGCGTTTCTGTTAAACTTTCACCTCCCTGAAAACACTCATATTCGAAGTAGGGACGAAGGAGAATGATTTGCCTTAGGGATCCCTTTGTCGACTCATGTGATTGCTGTTGAAAGTGGTCTGGATCTAAAAGACCACAAAGGTGTTTGATGTTCTTCATATATCCTTCAGCAAAAGAACTGGGAGAACAGTCATTGCTTTTGTGCGTTTGCATTTTCAATAACACACATGAAACAAGCTATGCCCTGCCAGTTTGGAACAAGCTCTGTCCTGCCTTGATGTACCCATGCCCTGTCTCTTTTACTGGTGTGCATGAAGAGGATGGGCAGGAAGGGGGAGAAAAGACATTCATAGAGGAGAAATAGGACTGGGGCTAGGGGGAGAAGATAAAAGGAAGATAAATGGAGAGGAGAAAATGAACTGGTGGGCGGAAATAAGACACCCCCCAAAAAAAAGAGGGAAAAATGAGATAGGGAGGCAAAAGGCAACGGAGACAAAAAAGCTCAAAGGACACAGGTGAAGATGAAACTATGAACACAGAAGTCAAGTAGGCAGGCATGAAGAGAGAGATAACACAGGAAGAAAAATAATGTAAAATGCAAGGAAAATCAAGAAAAAATTAACAACCCTCCCACCAAAAAGGAGCTGAAAAGAGAAACATGGATGAATCAGATTGGTAAGATGGCAGAAAGCAAACCAAAAAGGAAAGGTGGAAGACAGTAACACAAGCTGCACTTAATACTGTTCATGGGACAGACCTTACAACAATTATTTGTTATGCTGTTGCCCTATGGTCACTGTGATATGGATGACTTCGGGCTTCAGAGCACAACTCTGAGCAGCAAGTACAATGGGAGCAATGGCCACAACTGTGACTGCCAAGCCAGAGCCTGCTGAGCGGGAGAACGATCCCATAGAAAACTCTGTGATAAAGCAGAGAACTGAGCCTTGGTTTACTGTCTCCTTTATGTCAGGACAGTCTTCTGCCTTTCCTTCTCTGCCATGTTTGATGGATGGATCCCTCCTCTGCCACCGTCACTCACCTCCAGTTCGGACACTAGCCCAAACAAAATCTAGGAATAACGGGACAAGGGCATGGTAAACAATTCAGTCTGCTGCCACTGGTAATTTTTCCAGCACAGAGTACAGCCCCCTTTCTCCACTGTGAATAAATTACTTCAAATTGTTTTGCTGCCTCCCTGTAAGGTAAGGACTACTGGCCAATCTGGGAACATACACCCAAGTGTGAAATGAATTATGGCCAGCTAGTGCAACTCAAAATAAGGAAAAAGCCAGCATAAAATTTTTAGAAAGATTTCCCATTCACACAAGCGGCAAAAATGAGGGATGGCATCACTGGGAAACTGTGGCAATTCATGGAACACTATCATAGCACAGTGCTCACCATGGGTGTCTTTACCACATCCATTAAAGCTCTTAAATGCTGCTCTGAATCACAAGGCATCTCCAAGGCCTCATGGTGTAGGCAATGCCTGTGTATGGTACCCTGCAACAGTCCTCCAGGGTTGCTAAACCACCCACTCATCCTGTAGGCACACACTCGAACACACAACCGATCTCACTGTTTTTAGCAGCACCGTTTATGCAATAACTAACTATTCACCCGAGTGGGGGCTTATCAGCAGTTAGGCTAAAAAAAAACAAACCAGGAGTATCTTCTTCCTCCTGAACCAAGAAAAGGTTTGGAGCTGAATCCACAGCCCCCTCTGGGTCCCACCGGTGTGCCTGTGTGCTCGGAAAGCAGGCACCGCTGCTGCCCCCGAGCAATTCAGAGCATCCATGTGGGAAAGAGCAGGCAAAATCAGCCAGAGTATGTCGTCCTTTATGGCTCTTCTTACACCAATAAAGTTGAAATGTAAAGGGCAGAGTTTGGCACAAAAGCTGCAGGTAGATCTCACTGGTATATTATTATTTTTTACATCGGATTGGTCATGTTCATGCTCAACCATAACTTTCCTAACTGAAACATTCTGGTTCCTTTAAAATATGAGTTAATAATGATGAATCACAGGTAAGGATGGCCCTAAATTAAAGAGGCACAGTACAAGGCTTTGCTATCATCAAGGAAACTACTATTATCTAGAGGCATGGAACAGCCATATTTAACTTTGCATTCTGCACTTTAGCCCAAAGAAATACTAATTACACTCCCCTTAGCCCTCTTGCGTGGTGCCATGCAGCACATGCCCATCAGAAACAATGAATACATACATCAAGTGAAGAGTAAGGGTAATTTCCTGTGGTTGTTTTACGAGCAAGAGATTAAACTGCGACTACCCTGCAGAGTTTAAACAATGTGCTTGTAATAAAACTGATGCTGTAGCATGTAATCAGAAGACAAACAGAAAGTTTGACATGCTTAATGCAGCATTCATATGTAAAATGTCTGCAGTGGAAACAGCCCAGCCCTCTAATTTCAGTCTTTGTTCCACAATGAAACCTTGGGCCAGGTGCCTCTGAACATGTGCTGAAGTCCCTGTCAAAGGACAGAGACATAATTTCTCCATGGAAATGAGGCAAAACTCAAACTGGCTCTGTGCAGGCAGAAACACTCGGGAGCTGATCAGAAGACAGGCTCTGTTTGAGCCTGTTAGTAAGCACATAATTGCCACACATGACTGCATGGGGAAATTTTGAAATGTATCTCAGTTATCCTGCCCGTTCCTCAATTAACTAAACAACTCTACACGGTTCCTGTATGACACCAGAGACATTTACCTCATCGTTTGACGTCTTCCTAATATTAGAAATATCCCATAGACATTCACCCACAGTTTTCCTAAATGAAAGTAGTTGGACAGAATATGGCCATGCATTTTAACCCATCTTACTGGGTTAAAAACCCAAGGCGGCTGCACACTTGGATCTCGGTAAGCTCTCAGGGAAGTGCAGGGGGTGACCCAGACAAGAGCCGGGGCTCTAGCATTTGCAGTGAACCACCAGGCTGATGTGTGAGAGGGCAAGCACCACGGGGACGGGAGGGATGACACAGCCCGGGGATGGGAGGCAGGCGGAGAAGCTGGAGAAGGGCTGTGAGGGAGGCAGAGGTGGGGGACCAGAACGTCAGGAGTGGTGCAGGACAAGGCAGAGACCAGAGGCAGAGGGAAGGGAGGATGGTGTGCCAAGAGCTTCAGGCCAGTGGGCAGAGCTGCCAGGGAGGAAGAAGCAGCAGGCAGCGTGTGGGCTGGGTGAAGCTGCGAGGCAGCCGGGCCTAGCTGCCACCCCAGAGCCAAGTGCTGGGGCAGGGAGCTAGCGGCCACAGGTATCTGTCTGCGTCCATCTGAGGGCAGGATCAGGGCCTCTATGTATGCATTCACTTGAGGACGAAGTCTATTAGCATTCGCCCAAGCCATTTTAAAACATCCCAGTTACTGAGAGTCTCCCTGATTAGGCAGTGAGGAGTCCAGGCTCTGCACCACAACCATCACCACAGTGTAAGCATCAGAAAGGAAGCAAGGCTTTCAAGGTTCAGAATAAAAGACCCAATTTACAAGGTTTTGTAATTATTTGCATCTTTGACTGAAAGCTGCAAGCTTTGCTCAAGTCTGAAAGATACTTAGCAACTGCTTGAGAATCACTGTTCATTTAAAAAAAAAAAAAAGGCAACAAACCCCCCCAGATTCAGTACTCAGTGACAATTCTCCTGGAGTTTAATCTGCACACCCTTACTGCAGACCAGTAAATACCAAAAATGGATTAGTACCTGCTTTGTAAGTCATTCAGGTGCAATTTGCCTACATAATGGGTGGCTGACGAGACAGTGATGATCCTAGCGTTGTGACTGTGCGTTCCTGATTGCTTCAGCGTATCCAAGAGGAGGTTAGTCAACAGGAAGTGTCCCAAGTAGTTCAAGCCGAAGTGCTCCTCAAACCCATCCTCCGTCTTCCTTTCAGGGACCAGCATCACCCCAGCTGGAGGATAAAGTAGAGGCAAAACCTGTTGATTTATTTCAGAGAAGGAGCAAGCTAGAAGGAGCACGGCATTTAGAGCAATGAGTGATTGGTGATGGCATATGAAGTGTAAAGCCGACACTGATTGATTCCTGCCAAGAAAAATGTCAAAATCCCCACTTCAGTTCCTTTATCCAGAAAACAGGTAGACTGACTCTCTCCCTCCCTCCCTCCCTCCCTCCTTCCCTGCAGAATTGCAAGGATAAATGGGTTCATTTGTGAAAAGTGTTCTGAAGACATTAAAAGTTGAGTTAACCCATTGCTGTCGTGCCGGAACTCAATGCTGCAGAGCCACAACAATAATTAATCCATCTATAATAGGTGTGATCCCAACAACATTCCCTCCATCAAAGAGCTCAGAGCAGTGGAGACAAGACCAGGCTAAGCAGCAGACCTGCTCTCCCAGATGACTTTCTGCTGAGTCCTGGCTGGAGTTTAAAGATCTGTTGAGTCTTCGTCTGAAATCTGCAACTTCTACCTCACTGGTGTGTGTGAGAAAAGATGTAGTAAATTTACCCAATATATCTTAATTACTGTGCTTACAAGCAGCTGCATATTGAAATGAGTTTTTGAATGCTTATTTTGGCAATATTTTTGCATATATTTCTACAAACCACAGTTTTCAAACTCAGTGCCTAAAACAAGTATCCACGTCCCTAGCACACAATGTTGATTTCAGCATCTTGCAGAGAATCCTGAGCTCATGCATAAACTATATCGTGTACTGAGGCTGTGTGGGGGATAGCTATCCCGCTATAATTATAATGTGGACTTGAATGTTATAAATTATTCTTATTTTATTAAAATTTAATTATCGTACAAATGGACCTGACCTTTGTAATTTATATGTAGATGGATGTGGCTCATGGAGAATAATGTTGCAGGCCATTTGTCTTCTCTCTAAAACACATGGATACAATACAGCAGAAAGGCCACCTCTGCTCACAGACGTGAGAGTCAGCTTCATCCTCGTGCTACTTCATGTGTCCACTAAAAAGCCTTTAACGTCCCATTTCTTGACATCAGCCCAGTGATGGCATATGAAATTACCATTTTAAATTACACATGCTGTGCATCTGCACCATTCCTTCTTTGGAGGGGTCCCACCACCTGACAGTCCTGCTTCGTTACTGCTGCTTGGGCTGAGGAGGAGATATTTTCAGGATCTTTTCAGCATGGCCAACACCCCATATCGATTCACCTATGGCTGCCTCTTGCTTAATGGAACAACTGGAGAAGCAGCGTGAGGGGAAGAAATGAGAGAAGACGACAGAGCAAACAAAAGGTTTGGGTGTAACACAGTGTACCTGCATACGGAGACCTTAAGACTGAACATGAGCGACGCTGGCTGATGGTATGACAGAAGAGACACAACACAAATTACATGACGGGGCTCTACAAAAGCTCTGATTGGCATCTCTCTCTGTCATTATAGCCACTCTCCCAGATCCCTCAGAATGATGGGAAAACCCAACTGCCGGGTGTGGTTTCTCTGCATGACAAATCTCAACTTTAACAACGGAAAGATGCAAATTAGAGGGTGTCTGGTGGGGTGTCCCACTGTATTCTCCTTCCTCAGCAGCACTTACTCTGATGCATGGTGCAACTGCTCACAGAGTTGGAAACAGATTTCCATTTCCTCCATAATCTGCATATGCGGCCTATAATGACATCCAGAGCAGTGGCTGGGACTGAACACTGGTGTGAAGGTTACAGACAGACAGAAAGGTGAAACAAGTCCTGCTGTGACTTTTTATTATTTTCTCAGAAGAAGGAAAGGGCGAGAAGGGCAACAACCCGCAAGCTCCCAGACCAAGTCTCAGCCTGCTACAGTGCGAGTTTTAGCAGAGACGGGGCTTAGCACGAGCTGTCGGAGGGCAGATGGGAACAGCACCACATCTCTGAGCACCCGGGCTGGTACAAGGAAACAATTTGCATCTCTCTCAGGCCCATCCTGCCCTCCAAAGCTCTGACACTTGGAAAAGGCGGGAGGAAGCAGTTTGCCAGAGGTCTATTTGCAGCAACACTGGTAAAATGCAAGCCCAAGAAAAGGCAGCCAACATAAAACAACCCTACCACAGCAAAGCTGATGTGAACCCAAAATGCTGCTTCTGCGTCTGATGGGGCTGCTGCAGGGCTCACTATAGGCACCTCCATGCGCACACACACACTTCTGCCATCCGAGTCAGACGGAGGGATGGAGGAATTTGTCTGGAGAGAAGTGCAGCAGATGACTGCTACACACATTCAGCTTTGCATCACGACCAGCAGGCAAACCCCGGGAGGCTGTCACCGCTTACATCAGCCCTGAGGATGCCTGTGCTACAGCAACTGCCCCCTCGACCTCCGGAGAGGCGTGGGATTTCAACAGCACATAGAGGTTCTGCCCTCCACCCCAATTAGTCTCCACCATCTGTTCTGCACGTCCTGGAAGCAGAAAACAGATCTGAGCTCAGGTCAGGAGATGGAAAAAATTTACACTCATGCAACGCACAACTGCTAAGATACACATTCCCGAAAATTATTTTGCTCATTCTTCAGGAGCTTCCTCTAAGCAGAAATTGTGGTCAAGTCCTTGAGCAGGCACAATCACGTCTGCCTGCATTTGTTGCTGCTACAATTCCCTTTTTGTCTTCAAGAGCTGGTCAAATAATATTAATCCAAAACATCTTTGAAATATTTTTTTTTTAAGGCTTTCATCTTTGAGGTGGTTCATATCAAGGGTATCAGAAAATCTTGCCCTGCAATTTGAGGGCAGTTTCTCTTATTTGAGGAGAAGCCATTTTAATTCACCGAGAGTGAGCGTACAAAGGAATACCCAACAGGCAACTGAACCTGGCTGCTTCTCTGACAAAAGGGGAAACCTTGTAAGTGTAGCAGAAAGCTCTCTTTTTTAAATTATTAACTACCTAACATTCAGTAGATACTGAAAGTGGCATGCTATTGATTTTCGTTTGTCCAGAAACATCATCAGCTTTACTCAAGGGCCCCAAATGGTAACTCAAAGAATGAAAGTTCCTTCTATTTTTAATTCTTTCAATTAATCCGATAGTATTTGAAACATTAAAAAATGTTGTGGGTTTTTTTTTACCTTTACCTCTTCATTGTAAACTAAGAATGATTTTGCTTATTCTTCTGGTATGGAATCCATACAACCCAGTATCTTTCTGATTTTAATTATCAGTAGTCAGTCTCCTCAGGTTTTTGGAGTGCATGTGAAATTTGAAGTGGCAGCACACAGCCCATTAACGTCAAACACCTCAGTTGTGATACAATTTTCTTACATGTTTTTCCCTCTGATTTATCTGGATTGTTTCCAGAAGATTTATTTTTAAAAATGTCACTAATATCAGCACGGCATTAGAAAATGAATTAATAAGTAAACTGAACATGAGCTCTTACTTTGTAATTGATTAGCTGTTATTGAAATATTCAGGCAAAAGATTGACAGTATGCATGCAGAAAACTGCCTAAATGACACATCAACGTGTGATTTTGCAAGAGTAGACATAAATTAGAATAAGGAAAATATTTTGCTGCACAACTATGCTGAACAACTCTTCTTCTTACAGACATAGTAATACATTCCAATGTGCTACGGTTATGCATTTATTGTAATATGTTCAAATCATACACATTTTAATTAACTATAATGAATAAAAAAAATTCTATCCTTTTTTACTTTTATGACTAGGCAATAGTCATATTTTTCTCTCCAAGAATGAATACACCTCAAGAGAACTGTCTTTGTAAACAGTCATTTATCATGATTTTCTGTAAAAGTTTCTAATGAAACTATTGGTTTGGGATACATCAATAAATTAGTCCTATGTGATTTGAAGAGCATAATGGATCTGATAGTGCACACAGCATAACCAAAAAGTTTATGACAGTTGTAAATATTACAGGCCAGGCATACCGTATTTTTATTGGATTATATAGGAGAATTTGTACCATGCCTGCCTGTACTGCAGATGATGGTAAACATTGCTGTAATTCCTGTACCTCCCACTGCAAAGACATCCTTCAGCTCCATTATAAAATCTGTTTTAAGAGCCTTAAAAATACAAGTATTTCACTCATCTAGGTTTATTTACAGTGAGCTACTTGGCGCTTTTTAAAGGTAGTTCTCTCAAACTCACTACAAAAGAAAGATTTAAAATCTCTTTTTCACATGCAGAACAAAATGTCTTCTTTCCTAGCCAGGCTCACAGAAGAAGGTTTGGAGGCAGTGCCCCCACATGCAAGTCCTTTTACCCCCAGCAACCCAAAGGCTGGGCTGACAACGCAAGAGGTCAGCCGCATACACTTACATGTAACACCTTCACAGCAGGAGGTGAACCTATATAATCACATTCACCCAATTCTTGCTATTTACACAGAAAAGGTGCATACTATACCAAAAAAAGTTCCCAAGGGGAAAACTTAATAGAGACAGTAACTCCAAGTAAAAGTACAAAGCCTTTTCTCCATACAGGCTTTGTACTGGTGTAGCTGATTAATTTAGCAGCATTTTCCATCCCATGAGTGCAGCCACATGAGGCGGCCCACTTCACTTAACATAGTGTCAAAACCGCTCTGCTCTGCACACCCATACACCAGAAGTTCTATGGGTGGATCTATCTAGCTACAGAATAGCATAGCCCACTTCTCTCCTGAATAGGGACATCTATAGTGGAGTGAACATCTCAATAACCATATAGCAGCATCCCCTGGCTAGGCTGCCTGTATTAGATCGCTCATTCCACCTCGTTCAGTTGGGCTATGCTATCCCAGAATATGCCTGTCCTGTGGATCTCTCCTGGCTAGTGAGCAACAAGAAGGTGCAGTGCCTTATTAGAAGAATTGCCCCCAGAAGCGCCTACTGGAGACACAGCCATACTCACATAACTGCTTTTTACAGGTATGCCTCATCCGGGCTGCAGAGAGGTGAATTTACAGCACTGCTGCGACACACTGCT